TATTGAGAAAACATTATAAAATTACTACTCAACTAAAAATAAATAAATAATTACCATACTACACAGACAGGCGGCGCCTTTGACGCTTTTTTTTGTCATAGCTTGGCATTGTTTTCGTTATAAGCGAGTTTGTAGTTAGCCGTGTACGTGCACACGCACGCACTTGTACGTGCACACAAGCACACACGTGTACGTACACACGCACGCACGTGTACGTGCACACGCACTACTCAACTAAAAATAATTACCATACTACACAGACAGGCGGCGCCTTTGACGCTTCTTTTATCATAGCTCTAGTAACTATAGCCCGCGTACAGTTGCCGCAGGGCTATAGAGTGTAACATGGCAACTGCGTATGAGTTGCCATGGGGCAGGTTGCACGCTGTTGCAAACCGCGCTAGCGCTGCGCAACGAAAAATGGCTGCCCACCCCTCCACTTGGAAATACATTGTGCCCGCTCACTAGCACCAGAACCGCGCGAGTGTGCGCAACGAGAAATGGCGGTTACAAGTTGATAAACAATCTTCGTCGACGAGTAATATCGCAAGTACAATATTTAAGCAATAGTTTGTTGTTGTATTTTAGTGTTCATAGTAACTTAAGACATTTGTCCGGCAGAGAATGTGTTTTATTTGGCATACCGAAGAAGTTATTATCAGCTAAAAGTTGTGAGAATAAAACTCATACGCAGTTGCCATGTTACGCTCTATAGCCCTGCGGCAACTGTACGCGGGCTATAGTTACTAGAGCTAGTGCTAGTATAGATACAATAATGTAACCCAAAACCAGGAGGATAGGGTTACAAAGCGTCCGTATGGTTTTGTGCGGAGGAACGCCTGAGTGAATCACTCAGGGCGGTTTGCTGGTGCGTTTTTAGAGACTAGAACTTCCAAGCTGGGTTTATTCTAAACACGAACCTTTCTCCGCTATCCGGGAACTTACTATGTATCGCAATACTCAATACAAAATTTCGAAGTGACGAGCGGCGGATATTTCGAGCGCCATTTCTGTTGACCTGTAACGTACGAATTCGCAATGCGCATAGCGATCGGTAAACGCAGCGCCCTCCGATTGGTCGGTGAATCCACTCTTCAAACCGAAGTACGTCACAGGTCAACAGAAATGGCGCTCAGTATATTCGCCGCTCGTCACTTCGAATTTTTGTAACAGGTTATATTAGTTTAATACAAAGTATTGCGATACGTAGTAAGTTCCCGGATAGCGGAGAAAGGTTCGTGTTTAGAATAAACCCAGTTTGGAAGTTCTAGTCTCTGAAAACGCACCAGCAAACCGCCCTGAGTGATTCACTCAGGCGTTCCTCCGCACAAAACTATACGGACGCTTTGTAACCCTATCCTCCTGGGTTTGGGTTACATTATTGTATCTAGTGCTAGTATAGCTCTAGTACTATAGCCCACTTAATACATTAACTGCCGCTGGGCTATAGCATCAGCCATTACGAATGCTCGGGACCAACTTACTCCAGCCAGTCAGCGGGAACTATGTATTTCCGCACATGGAGGGGTGGGCGGGTTGTGTTGGTTGTGGACAAAAACATTGTTGTTGTCAAGTAACAAATTAATAATAGTAATTTGTTCATCTTTCATGACAAAACTAATATTACAATCTCGTTTGATCGCTTAATTTGTTACTTGACAACAACAATGTTTTTGTCCACAACCACCACAACCCGCCCACCCCTCCACGTGCGGAAATACATAGTTCCCGCTGACTGGCGCTGCTGCAGCGCCGCCAGAAATGGCCGTTTGAAGTTCGCAAATCGAATATTCGTTCACAAGAAATACCGCAAGTATACCATTGCAACGATAGTTAGAGGTTAAATTTTAGTAGCGGCTATAACTTAAGACATATTCACTTCGGATAAGAGGCATTAATTGCCTACCACAGACGTTTTATAGCCGGGTATAAGCGGGTCTAAGTTGGTCCCGCGCATGCCCTATGGGTCGTTCTATAGCCCAGCGGCAGTTTTAAGCGGGCTATAGTACTAGAGCTTGTGCTAGTACTACCAGGAGTAAGATAATATAGCCTATACTATAGGATCCTATATTCCTATACAGGCTTTCATTTTTAAGGGGCGCGATCGCGCTCGCGCTTCACCGCGCACCCGAAATTGTGCCATGGTGCGCGCATCATCGCGCCTC